AAAGAAAGAAAAAAGAAAAGAAATGGGTTTATTTGAAAAGCAAGTAATTTTTTAAAGTATTCAATAGTAACTCAATGCTCATTGGTTGCATTCATTTAGTAAATATTTATTGGATACCTACTGTGTGCCAGGTATTCTTACAGAATGTTGGAAAACAGAAGTGGCAACAAAAAGCAACAAAACCTTCAGCCCTGGCTCAGCGCCTGTGGCTCAAGCAGCTAAGGCGCCAGCCACATACACCTGAGCTGGCAGGTTCAAATCCAGCCAGGGCCTGCCAAACAACAATGACGGCTGCAACCAAAAAATAGCCGGGCGTTGTGGCGGGCACCTGTAGTCCCTGCTACTTGGGAGGCAGAGGCAGGAGAATCACTGCCCAAGAATTGGAGGTTGCTGTGAGCTGTGATGCCATGGCACTCTACCCAGGGTAACAGCTTGAGGCTCTGTCTCAAAAAAAAAAAACCCCAAATATAAGACATTCCAGATGCTCAGAAGAAAAAAAAAAGCAAGATTCAGGGATGAGGGTGTGTCTGGGGCAATTTACATAGGGTAGCCACAGATTACATTAGAATACACAGATTTATCAGTTAGGACATGTAGCAGTTCACCTGCGCGAGAGGTGCCTGATGTTTTATACATGACCAAAACGATAATGTAAGAGGCAATAAGAAGATGTATGGGGCTTAGAGTTCTAAAGATCATCACTTTTTAAGATAAATCCATAGTGAGAACGCCTATACTACATATACTTAGTTTCAATTTCACTCTAAGAATGAATGGTTGGGGTCTCTTTGGTTTTGTTTTCATAAATTGTTTCCTAAGGAGCAGCAGGGCTGGCTTCTTTTCTTGTCCAGGAAGCCCCACAAGGCTACCCGTGTTCCGGAGAACAGAAATTCTCGCTTTTTTTATTCTTCAGAGCACAAGACAGTGTCTGGCACATACTGTTCCAACCAAGTTTGGTACCTGGAACCCGCTGAACAGCACTGTACAGGAACTATTAACTACGTTCATTGGTCTGAGGGAGCCTGGACTGCTGTTCTCCGTAGCCTCATCCAAAGCAGGGAGGTGGTGGTGGGGGAATTCCAGCTTCACAGGGCAGATGTCACACATCATTTTTCACTAGCTGGACTAGAATGTTTTCTGGAGTTTTTCCTCTGCCAAGAGAACACGAATTTATGAAACGTGGTCCTGTCTGCCCTAAAGTCAGGGTCCCGCCTAGGCGGACAGCTGTGCTGAGGCGAGAAGCCAAATCTGTCCTTGGCCTGCGCGCTGGACGGTGCCCTTGGGGAGTCGTCCTCGGTGGCAAGGTGATCTACCTTTCCAGGTTTCTGCTGTCCCTTCCGCTGCCCCGAGCTGCCCAATCCGCAGGCCGCCTCCAGCCCACCCCCGGCGCGGGGAAATCCGAGCTCCCCAGTCCTTCCCGGTAGGAAGGCACTCAGCTGGCCTCCCTCGCCAGCTTTCCTCCCTGCCTTTTCCCCGGCCTTCTTCCCTGCCGTCCTCGCCAGTAGCCCTCCGATTGGCTGCCGCGCGGGCGAGGGCGTCCGATGATTGGTCAGTGAGCAGTCATCGCGCTGACGCACCCGTCTCGGGGCGGGACCCGACACTGAGTGACTGGTCGCGGCGGCTAGTGGAGCGGATTCCTCAACCTGCGCACGCTGGCAACGCTGGCTGCGGTTCCAGGAGTGCGCCTCCGGGCAAGGAGCGGCGGGCCGTGGGGGGAGGGGGGAGGGATTCCGGGAGGGCCTGGGGCTCCGGGCCAGGGGTGCAGGGGCGGGGGGGAGAGGCGGCGCCGGGGAGCCCTGGGACATGGCGCGGCCGGACGATGAGGAGGGGGCGGCGGGAGCGCCCGGGCACCCGCTGGGGAAGGGATACCTCCTGGTGCCGAGGGGCGCGCCCGCTGGGAAGGAGAGCGTGGATCCGCACAATGGACCGAAAGCTGGCTGCCTACCCCTGAATGGGGTTCCCCGGGGCGGGCCTCAGACTCCGCTGGCCCCGGAAGAGGATACCCAGGCCCGGCTGCTGCCCACGGGCCCGGGAGAGGAGACCCAGGCGGTCGAGGGCACCCTGCTGCCCCGGACTGCGCTCTCCGCGCGGCGCTTTGTGGTGCTTCTGATCTTCAGCCTGTACTCGCTGGTGAACGCCTTTCAGTGGATCCAGTACAGCATCATCAGCAATGTCTTTGAGGGCTTCTACGGCGTCACCTTGCTGCACATCGACTGGCTGTCTATGGTGTACATGCTGGCCTATGTGCCCCTCATCTTCCCCGCCACCTGGCTGCTGGACACCAGAGGCCTGCGGCTCACCGCCTTGCTGGGCTCCGGCCTCAACTGCCTGGGCAGCTGGATCAAGTGCGGCAGTGTGCAGCCGCATCTCTTCTGGGTCACCATGTTGGGCCAGTGCCTGTGCTCCGTGGCCCAGGTGTTCATCCTGGGCTTGCCCTCCCGCATTGCCTCTGTATGGTTTGGGCCCAAAGAAGTGTCCACTGCTTGTGCCACCGCCGTGCTAGGCAATCAGGTAAGAACTGGAATGACAGGTGAAAGTCGGATAATTACAGCACCAGAAAAAGTCCTATAGGCTCTCATGATCTATGTGGATGAGCCTTCAGGAGGCATGAGTAGTCAAAAGAGGCAGTCTTGGATTAAAGAGCAGTTTACATTTCTTCGTAAGGACAGAATTTTCAAAACCAGTTTAAAGTGACCATCTTGGCTCGGCGCCTGTGGCTCAAGTGGCTAAGGCGCCAGCCACATACACCTAAGGTGGCGGGTTCGAATCCCCAGCCGGGGCCCGCCAAACAACAATGATGGCTGCAACCAAAAAATGGCCAGGCGTTGTGGCGAGCGCCTGTAGTCCCCGCTACTTGGGAGGCTGAGGCAGGAGACTCGCTTGAGCCTAGGAGTTGGAGGTTGCTGTGAGGTGATGCCATGGCACTCTACCCAGGGGGATGGCTTGAGGCTCCGTCTCAAAAAAATAAATAAATAAATAAAGTGACCATCTTGTCCTCTTGCTTTGGAAATTACCTATAAAATTATTAGCTGCATTGGTCTGTATATGCCTAACATGATAGAAAACTTGTCAGTGCAATAATGAGCAAGACTCAAGGAGGTATCGTTTTTTTCACCAGTATATTCTTTGTGAAAGGAAGATGCTGGATTCTGGGAAGATTGTTTCTGGTTCAAGTGGCCATTGTGAACAGCTGTTTAATTTTATATATTAGCAGTCAGCAAAGTGCCTGTTACGTAAAAACACTTATAAATGACTGCTGCCAGCCTGGGCAACATAACAAGACCTCGTTTCTACAAAAAATGAAAAAATTAGCTGGGCTTATGGCTGCTGCAGTCCCAACGTCTCTGGGAGGCTGAAACAGGAGGATTGCTTGAGCCCAGGAGTTTGAGGTTGCAGTGAGCTTTGATGTGACCACTGCACTCTAGCCCAAGCAGCAGAGTGAGACCAGGTCTCCAAAACAAAACAAAAACAAAAAAAAAAAAAAGAAAGAAAAGACTTCTAAATGTTCTGGTGGTAAGAACTTCACAGTGTTACTGAGTCCAATTACCAATTTTTAACAGTGAGACAATGCCAGACAACTGTCAGATCAGGAAATCGGTTGTAAAAGAGTAACTGACTAGGCTCAGCTCCTGTGGCGCCAGCCACACACATCTGAGCTGGCAAGTTTGAATCCAGCCCAGCTGGCCACACAACAATGATGGCTGCAACCAAAAAATAGCCGGGCGATGTGGTGGGCAGCTGTGGTCCCAGCTACTTGGGAGGCAGAGGCAGGAGACTTGCTTGAGCCCAGGTGTTGGAGGTTGCTGTGAGCTGTCATGCCATGGCACTCTACCCAGGACAACAGCTTGAGGCTCTATTTCAAAAAAAAAAAAGAGTGAACTGCCTTTGCCAAGCTCCATTAAAGAGTTAAGTAGTTTTTCCTAACAACATAGGTTCAAATTCTATTAGCATTCCAGTTGCATTTCTAGATTAAGACTGATTATTTTCCTGTAATTTAAATTCTGTATACGGTGTCTTATGAAACTTCATATAAGTTATATTCCTTCAGCTGGAAGGGAATCTAATTAAAATTTGTATATCAAGAATTTCAGCTCTCTCTATACATATATTGATACATGCAGTTACTTAAAAAAAAGTTTTTTTTATTTGATCTAACAAGATCACATTAAGATATCTTTAAAATACATGAAAAAACTAACTGTACTTTTTGCTTTATAATTTATTTCCTTTATCTAAAAGTACAGAAGAAGGGGTACTTTGCGTCTTAATAGTTATATATCCAAAATAATTTATGACTGATAACTTAGTTGTTTACATTTGCATATTTAAATGGGAACCTTTTATTCTTTCACAGTGACAAAATTATATTAAAGATTAATATTTTCCCTTTAACAGCACAGTAAAAATAAAGACATTAAAACATATTATAACCACTACCTGTCCTCTTTGTGTCAGAATTGACTTTTTTCTCTAACGAGAATAGCTGTTTACAATACTAATTTATTTTACAGCTTGGCACTGCGGTTGGCTTCTTGCTACCACCAGTTTTAGTGCCCAACACACAGAATAACACAAACCTCCTGGCTTGCAATATTAGCATCATGTTTTATGGAACATCAGCTGTGGCTACACTTTTATTTATTTTGACAGTAATTGGTAAGTGAATTATTTTCTTTATAGCTTGGATAAATGCATGACAAAAATTTGAAAATAACCCTGACATTTTTTATTGATAATATCTCAAAGGCCATTTGCTTGTTTCATTCTTACCACGCATTGCTTGCTCTGGTAATGAATGCTCTAATTCCAGGGGTATGTGATAGTCCACTGTATCTATCTTAATACCATAAAGGGTTTGAAGACTAATTCATCTCATTTATCTCCCTACTAATTTTTCTTCTTGACAACCGTTGGTTTCAAACATATTACCTGCCACCTCTTCTCATATTCATCTACGCAGTCTGCATCCTGTTCCTACCTGGCCAGAAGTAACTTCTTGTTATGCTTTGAAGTGATGCAAACAGGCTGTAGTCTTCCTTGTAATGGCAAATCCTCCCAAGGATCCCCAATTTAACAATTAACTGGATCTGAAAATATTGACCAGTGAATGATCCTGGCAGCAGCAAGCTGAATTTCAGCAGAATTTCAAACTGTGGCAACTATCTGCTTGTTAGGCTATTCCAGCAACGCACGGCTGCCACCCTTTGTCACTGAGTCCTCTCGTCGGGGCCTGTCTCTTGAAGCAGCCAGTGAAAATGAGCTGTGAGCAGCCATCAGCAGTTTGGAAGAAGCTTTGGGAAGGTCTGCCTTTTTAAGTTTATTTTTAATGGGAAGCAGTTTTGATCTCAGGGAGAAGGATAGATAGGGATTATTTAAGTAATACTGCTGTTAACATAACTGTAATATTGCCCTTTAGACACTCTGTATCTAAATTGATTTGAAGAGGGAAGGAACTATGTATCAAGTTGAAAGACTGCCTCTTCATCATTAAAACTTATAAACTGCATTATAGCTGGAGTTTTTAAAATTTACATATTTTTACTATGGTTATAATAGTAATGAAAAACTTATATTTTATGATCTCCAGATATGAAATCCTCAGGTTTCAAAGAAATGTATGCCGAAGACTCTAGAGTGTTTCAGTAGAGCCTGCCTTGGTAGATGAACTGCAGGACCCAGGTATAGGAAGCTCAGCCCACATACTTAATTTCCCTTACGATAATGAACAAAATGTTCTCTTGGTAGCATGTGAAGTCTTCTAGAAGATATGTCTGGTCTACTTATGGTTGGCTTTTGTTTCCAGTTAGTCAGGGAGTGGCATATGCTGTGTCCAGACTACTGAAAAAGGACAAATTACTCAGGTACTATTTTAGTTTAGTTTAACAAAGTTTTAAAAGAAAGATATTGTCAACCTCTCCACCCCCCAATAAAAACTCTTTTAAGTTTGCTTTTCTGGTAGCCACATTTGATTTGCCAGATTAAATATGAAATGCTGTTTATATATATTTTGCATAAATGGACCTTCCATTGACAGTAGGGATTTTTTTGGGCGGGGGGAGGGACAGAGCCTCAAGCTGTCACCCTGGGTAAAGTGCCATGGCATCATAGCTGACAGCAACCTCCAACTCTTGGGCTCAAGCGAGTCTCCTGCCTCCGCCTCCCAAGTAGCTGGGACTACAGGTGCCCACCACAACACCCATTATTTTTTGCTTGCAGCCATCATTGTTGTTTGGCAAGCCACAGCTGTATTGGAACCCACCAGCTCAGATGTATGTGGCTGGCACCTTAGCTCCTTGAGCCGCAGGCTCTGAGCCAGGCAGTAGGGTTTTTTTTTTTTTTTAAGAAGCGCAATCAGCGACAATGTCTTTAAACCTAGTTCGTGACTGAAACCATACCATGGCCCTGGAGTGATCCTTTATGCAAAATTTACTGTCGGACTTCCTCATCATCTTTTTTTTTTTTTTTTTTTT